TCAGCTTCAATCTTCGCTGCACGCCTCAGAGTCCTGGAGGCGTACAGATCCTGGAGAGATGGAGGAAAGGTACAGATCATTGCAGAATGACGTGTGCTTCAGTGTTAAGGGCAGTTTATAGTTCTACATCCACACACATCAAATGTCGCTTGCATCCGGTCGCAAACCAGTTTTGCTGGTATGCTTCTGCACCGTCCGTCTGGAATTTCTAGGGACACACAGCAGTTTCCTGCCAAAGCGCAACGGGGAGCCTATTTGAGAACTTGCGAGAACTTCAGCGGATGGTCACGAGAACTTCGGCGGCGCCGGCGGGAGTATCTATCTTCAAAAACAACAATGGTGCCTCTGCAAGATATCACGGAGATGCATCTAGAGTAACTAGCCATCGAAGAGGAACAGGTTCTGTAAATGGAGTTGGCAAAAAAAAAACGATTAACCTTTCGTCGTAGTTGTTCGTTGTAGTTGTTCCTCAGTTTTTAGAAATGGCGCACCCCGGCACCAAATGGCGAAGGACGACCACACAGACAGCCGGAAAGGCATACCAAGGACCAATCACAGCTGCTTTTTGTCTTTGCACTTCCGCTTGAGGTCTGTGCAGATTTGCGACCGTCCGACGCGTAGTCAGGATTTTTTTGAGGTGCGCGACAACGGTTGCAAAACCTCTGCGTGGGGCGCGTGGTCAGAAAGACAGATTTGACGGTTGCAGAGAGAGAGAGGCTATGCGTCAGAAGCATGAATTGGCCTTTAGGGTGGTGTTAGGTTTAGTGTTTAGAGCATCAGCTGCTGTTGGTATAACAGAGGACAGACATACTGTGATCCTGGAGGTCAGCATGCTGGTAGCTGTTGATTGATTTTGACTCGTCTTAAAGCTACAGGATCCAAACTTGGTGGCAGACTCAAATGATGTCCCTGTAATTCATCACGTTACCTTTTATATGATATGTCTGCTTCAGCTTCATCAGCTAATGTCCTAAATGCCGTTCTTATAACTTTCTTTTCTCTTCCTACCCTTCACTTATACAGTATGTTTATTTCTGTTTATGGTGTCACAGTGTGTCTTTGTTTATCCCTGAGCTCTGCTGTTTTCCGCCCCCCTGTTTTCCCTGGTTTCACCCCCTAAAAACTTGGGCCAAGCTGTGGATGTGTTGATGTGCTCCATCTGTGGGCCGCCGTTCAGAACCATAACCACTTCGTTGTGCTTACAACGGAGGACAAAGCGGCTTTGTAGCAGCAAACCTGAGTGTAAAGAAGTGTAAACAGATGGGATTACAGGACATGAACACACACAAACTAAGCCTGTGTGACAGAAGGAGTTCTGATCCATTTCCCAAAGTGAAATCATCCAAAAACAATCTAAAGGTTTACTTCAGTTTTCATCCTGTTATCAGTGGTTTGGACCCCAGTGGCTCTCAGAGTAACAATGCAGCAGCTTCCTGTGGCATCAGCCCCAACAGGAAGCAGGAAGTTCATTTTTCACCTGTGAGTTCTCCGATATGGAGGACCCAGGAATGTTGGTTTCTACAGGCTCCTTGTCTTAGACTGATTAATTCATTCAGCAGAAAAACGTCATTAATATTATAATCAGTAATCATTACAGTCCCAATAAACAGTTACTTAAAGAACAGGGTGTAAAAATAAGTTGTGAAAAACCTGGTCTAGAATCTTAAATGTATTTATTTGAACTGTAATTAACTTGGTTTTCAGCTTTATTCAAAGTTGCATAGTTACGTTATATGTCCATATAAAAAAAGAGTTAAAACTATTAAGTTATGATAGCTAGGGTTG